CCCCAAAACCCCAAAACCCCATCAACCTTATGAAAGAGAAATTCACGAGTTAGATAAATAAATTCAAATTAAATTCTACTATATAATAAATATTCTATTTATTCCAATATCATTTTCTTTATTAAACTAGATTTCTGAATTTCACTAGCCTTTATTAAAACTCATCTTCTTGTTCTTCTTAATTCTTTTAAAGATCTTTAATTTGTTATCCACTATCAAGTATATTAGTCAAAGATTTTGAAAATTTAGAATCTAAGATTTCACTCTCATTTTTAGTTAAGATACTACCTCTGATAAAATAACTGCTTTCTAATTAATTAACTAATTATTCTGGTTATCCCACTTAATCTAGTCCTAATTTCACTGGTTAAATAATATTTGCTTCCTTTAATTTATTCTAAGCATCTACTTAAGAAGTATTCTTGGGAATCGCTATAAAATCCAAATAAAGTTCATTTTAGCTTTTTATTTTCTTTTTATACTTTCCTTTCTTCTTTAATGTCTTTTTTAATTTCTTCTCGTTTTTAGAATGATTTAATGAGAAACTCCCTTCCATCTTATTATTATTTTGAAAACTATCAATTTAATTGAAGTCAATATCAACATCTTTCAAATTTTAAGATTAATTAATCAAAATGTTAGTACTATTAAGGCTATAATCAATATTTTCTTTAGTATTCTAAATGCTATTTAGATTTTTTTGTTATTCTTATTCTAATTAAAGCCGCTATCTTCTTTTCAATAATTTATTCTTAATTACTGATACAATGCTTAGAATCAATGTTACAACGAGATTAAGCCAATTTACAGAAATATTTAAAAGAGTTACCACTATCATGTACCATCCTATATCATATCGTAACTAGCTATCATAAATAATCTCTTGAAATACCAACAGGAAGTAAGACATTGATAGAAGAGTCATTTCATTATAAATTTCAAAAATGTAATCTAGCTTTCTTTCGAAGGGCTTGATTAAAATCACAAATATCAGTAAAAATAGACTGAGAAAGACTTGCAACATTGCTTAAAGAATTGGATATGATTTCAAGGTTACTATTGATAGTGCGAATATCATTCTTCTTGCAAAATATAATACTGTCTAGTATTCGAAGTATTATGATTTAGTGTCTAAATTCATATATAAATTTCCGTACCTATCTTTTACTTATTGTTCCTACAGTTTAAGCTGGTATTTTCTGAAAAATGCAATAATGAGGACAATTATTGAAGTCAAATAAATGACCATAATAATTGCAAACAATAGTTGTATTTGTTAATCACTGTTGACCTAAAAGCATTTGTTATTTTTTAAAATGTATTACTGATTATACTCCTATAAAGGTCGCAACAGCAAAATTTAAATATCCTTTCATGGTAGATCTAATGTAGAATTTGAAAAACAAAAGCTTATTCAAAAATTCTAATATTTTAGTAACACTATGTGGTTAAAAATGTAAATTTATACAATTAAACTTTCCTAAGGAACCTTCCTAGAATGACAATTATCAATCCAATAATAAGAGCCAAAATAAGAGCGAAAAAAATAGCTCCAACATTATAAAGAATGTTACTTGATTCATAGCGTTAAAAGTTAATTAGAAATATCAAAATCATAATAAATTACAAAGATATCCATCACTTTGAAGTTTTCCTATATGCCATTCTTTTAATCTTTCATAAATACTCCTAAAATGTCTTTTATGTATTTTTTTGGGATAATATTCATGTTTGAAATATCTATGATTGAGCTAAAGCAAAAAATAACATTTGATGGAAGAGGTATCTGTAGCAAGGGTAAATGTACAATAATCTAAAGGGTCTAAATTAACATCCACAGCTTCTTTAATGACAAACCAAGCACAAGTGAAAGAAATATATTTGAGCCTATTGCACCAGTTAATGCAGTTGAAGCAGTAACAGCCAATGCTTATAAGGCCTTAGTTGCAGCTAATAAGTTTAATTATAAAATCTACCTGTATTTGGTATTTAAGGAGGAATCTCATGATTAAGATTCTAGTCAATATCTACCACTTTCTACATATCATCACTAATGAAAAAGTATTTTTGATTGATTTTGATCTGCAAAGTATCATATTTCTAAAATATTTAATCAGCCAAATAATTAAATTACCTACCTATGACTAGGATATATTTATTGGATCTGGAAAATCTATTTGAATTTGGACGATGTTATCCTTAAACTGAGAGATGTTATAGGCTGAGGTTTATTCAGGAGTGTAATTTTAAGTTTCAGTGGCAGAAAGAATTCTGATCTAAGATTTTGATGTTTGCTTTAATTCTATCATCTTTTCGTTTCTTTAATCAAATATTGAAAAGCTAAAAGCTTCAAAGTAAACTAAAGGTTGAATGATTTTAGGTTTTAATAGATTCGAATCGAAATTCAATGTTATAACACCGCTTTAATCTATATTGTCGATCTTTGCTTTAATCTTGCCTGTTAGTTTCTTCTTCTAAATCTTTAATCCATTAACTATAATCTCATTTGCCGATTCCACGAAATATTACTTCAATTCTTACTATTTAATTGATAATACTTCCTCTTTTTAATATATCATTAATCTTATTTAAGTTTGTGATAAAATTAAGCCAGTTATTGTATCAATAATAGCGATATCAAATTAATATTAACCTTAGTCATTTTCTGTTGGTGTAATAGTCAATTGTTAGAAATTTATCTATATAAATTTTGGTTAATTCTAAATAATGATTTGCATATTGCTTTTATCAAGGTTTTTAATTGGAGGAAGCTAGTAAATTGATGACTATCCTATAGCAAAGCTCATATCTGGAAATTAATCCATAAAATATGGTTTCTTCTCTTACTGTTTATTTTCTTAAGAAATAATGCTAATCGCAAATTAGTACTAAGAAGTCAATTAAATTTACCTATAATTTACTTGGCCCTTGACTCTAACAATATATTTTCCAATATGATCACTTTTTTCTGAAAAAATGAATATTGAACTAATATCTGGGTTAAACTTAATAAATTCAATGCTGCTCTCAGATTAATCCTAACGACTAATTGAAACAGTCTAATTCACAGTGATGCCATTACATTAAGGCTTTAATGTAAATGGGAGTAAAATGATATTCATGCTCTAATCTCCAATTGCATATTCGTTTAAGTATTTGAAAGTAGGGCTTTGTAAATTTTCTAATGTACAAGCATCCTCAATCTTTAGAGTAAATGTGATATCCTATTAATCAGGGCTCAGTAGAGTGTTGTAAATAAAAAACTGCCAATTTCCCAAGTTAGTTTTATTATTTGTTTATATAGTAATTTAGTAGATGTATGGAGGATTAATAAAACTTGATTGTATTAGGCTAATATAATCCGGACTCTGAGTCTACTTGTATGAATATATCTAAGGTTAAATGAAGACATTAAAAGTGCTCACTTAAAAACAGTTTTAAACATAATAATTCCAATCTAGAAAAGTAATGTACAATATTTCACCAAGCTAGTATTCATAAATAGAATTATTGAGAGAATGAGCAGATAAAACTTTGTTTTCTGAGCAACTTGGCTGAACAAGAATTTCAATTAGAGTGTAATTAGAGTATTAATACTGATCCAAGAATTATGCAGAAATGCTAAGATTATAAATATAGCTTCCTATTGCCTGAATATCAGAAGTCATTGGAATTGATATATTAACTATTGATTTCTGAACGGAATAGATGGTTGCATTCAGTATTTTATTTTTTGGAGATATCTAAATCAAGGTGTAATTATATGTGGTGGGACACAACACTGATTTTTTAAATGTTGTTAGTTCTTAAATTTTAGTCGTTTCATTCAAGGTATAATATATTTAAAACGACTCTTGTATTATTAGTAATTTTAGCTCCAAACATTTACAGTCTAACACAAATGTCTATATTTAAGAATAGCTAATGCTTGGAAAATCATTTAAGAATGCTGTTTAATTGTAGCTAATAATATGCATATCACAAAGATACGAATTTCTTCCGGTATAATTACTCATGTCAATCTTCATCATTAGGTCCTAGCTGGAGAAAGTAATTATATTGTAAGAATTAATTATGGTATCAAGTATTTCTATAGTATGAGTAATAGTTCCACAAATTAAATTTAAGTCTGATGGCCTGGCCTCAGATACTAAAGCTTGATCTGTCAAACCTTTGCTAATATCAAATATAATAGGTTCAACTTCAATGAATTTTAATTTAGCGGTTGAGCATGGATTAAATTCAATAATTTGTAAAGTAGTTTAGAATTAATAAGAATAATTTCCAAGCACTGTTCCTATTATGGTTAACTAGTAGTTGCCTCTAAAATTCAACTTATCAGTATAAATATAGAGTTGATTCGAGGAAACTGAAGCAAATTCAAAAGTTTCAACTTTTTCGTCATTTATTAGGAATGTAAATAAAATTGGCCCACAATGAGTTGGAGATATAGACCAATCGTCTCCTGTTATAGCTAATGGTGACTGTTCTAATACATATGTGAATGTTTGATTATCTAAAACTAATAAAAATTCAGGATATAATACTTTAATGCGAAAATATTGGTTGTTAGCAACTGTCAATGAAACTAGCGATAAATTCTACTTCTTCTAGTGTCTATATTTTATTATTAGGTACCCAAGCTCTCAATTTAAATGTAAATTATTAACCTACAAGACTTAAGTTCATGCTACAATCAATTTCTATTATTAAAGTGGAAGTTTCATGTGCCAAAATATAATAAGGAGGACTACTTGTAAGTTAATGCTATAGTTCATAAGTTAAATCTGGACATCCATCTAAAGATTGAGACCAATATGATATACTCTGAACTTAAGGCAATGGCTACCTACAATCAATTTCCATGTCATTGACTGTGACTGGAATGATTATAGATCTATCACAGTAAGCTAATATGCGAACCTAAAATACTAATTCGTCATAATTTTTTGAAAGTCTAAGCACATATCGAACTTTCAAATCAAAAGAAATAGATGTAGGTATAATATCACTATTCAACACAATTAGCTATTATCCCGAAGAAGTAATATATGAAATGAAAGTTTCTACAATATTCTGGTGATCTTCATCAAAGATAGGATCACTTTCAATAATAACATCATACTCGCAAGCTTTAGCGAAATTTCATAATCCCCTGACCCAGATATATATTCAACTGTTTAATTAGATGGAGTTAATGAAATTGTAGCATAGTGGCAAGAACTTATTATTTTAATTGTAATATTCTGCTAAAATATCTACCCATTGTTGATTTTGTGTTAAATTATTATCTGATAGTCTGTGAGTATCTCATCTATAACTACATCAAAATTATTTATCATAATTTCATTTGTCATCACGTCTAACATTAACCAATGTGGAAAATCTAAATATTAAGCACTCATACCTGTAACTATTACATTTAATCCATCACACTCTTCATCTATTTGTAGTCACTCTAATTTATACACAGCATCACCAGACTCTTAAATATAAATAATTTCTACATCATCAAATAACAATGGTTGTAGTAAGATTGAACAAGTTCCAATATTCTACGTCTCCCCAGGAATTTATTTTAAATCATCTATTGTCATTCTTTCAGATACTTCGATAAATTCACCAGAGGTATTAATTAGTTCAATGAAATTAGCCATAATAGTATAAGAGACTATTCCATTATAGACTATTCCATTATCATCATCTGTGATGAATTCATCAATATCTAAATGATAAAGACATGTATGATAATTACGAGTTAGAGATATCAAACCCTTTTATATAACCTCTTAAGAAGCAATTTCTCCTGAAGATGTTTATTTGATAGAGCCAAATATTATGAATTAATTTTCTCCTTGGTTATCTTTTCCATAAAATACTGAACCAATTATATAGTCTTGGTATACTTTAACATCATTATAATAGTCGTATGATGAAAAACACTTTTTATTGTACATCAAATTATGAGATTCTACTCTATCATAAGTTAGAAAGCAATTTTATAGAGAACTTGAAATTGTGTGTATAATCATCTTTCTATCTTAAATATGAATTGCCGCACATTCATAGTTATAAAAATTACGGACATTTACTAGTATGCTATCACCATTAATATCAATTGGATTTTGAATAAATTCCGTCTAAATTATCAATAATTCCACATTTTAAGGATCAGATGATTCTTATAGGTTGATGCATTAATTAACAATGTAGTAATCTTAGTTATTTTAATCTGGTTAATCTACTTAGATATTAACTATTTTCCTGATCTTACCGGCATCTATCTTTATGAATTCGAATCATCTAACTTGATTTTCAGCTATTTTGCTCTAGTCTAACTTAAAAATTTAAACTTCGTAGTGATGTTAGTTAGTACCTTGAATGAAAAGATACTTTGATTGTGAATCATAAGCAATAGAATAAGCTTAAAAACCAATAAGATTTTCATAGTACTCATAATGATCTTGCTCTTCTACATTAAACCACATCAGGTTAAAAATATCTTAATTTTAAATATTAATATAACAGATATTGTTAGCAAATGCGATCAAATTGTAAGATAATTCTTAAAAACTTGAAATTAAAAATGGCTTAACAGCAGTTAGTATAATGGGTGCAGAATAATCAATTGTTACAATAATGGGATTTCCTTCATAATCTCGCAATAATGCTATAGCTCTATAATCAAGATGCTAATTTATCTTTAAAGATTGAATATAGAGACTTTTAACTTCATAATGAATCATTTTTTAGTAAAATGAATCAACTTGATCAGCTAAAAATAATTCAATAAAAGGACTGACTGAGAATTCCATATCAAGTTCTAAGTTTATTATTATGCCTCCAGCAAGCAACTGATTTTCTATATATGGATCGATTTCAAGAGTCGTATACTATATTTCATATATGTTATTTTGGATAACTCTAGGAAATGTGTCAGTATCATCAAAACACTGATTTTGATTGGTTAAGTTAGTCATGTAAATGATGAGTAATAGCAAAACTCTATGGGGTTTTCCAAAATGTTGTAATACCATTTTATTATGTTTATATTATAACATTTTTTTAGGTATTAAATGTAAATTCAGATATTTGAAAAATTTTAGTAGTTTATACCTCAAGGGGTTTTGGGGTTTTGGGG